TGCATTTACAGTACGACTCTGCAACTTTCCCAAGTGCTCTGACCAATACTGTAATATCTAGTGATCAAGTTTTCTGGCAGTCTTCACATTAATAAACTAAAACATTCCTAAATTAATAAATTGAAACATTGCTACTTAATGAACCGAAACATTCCTGTTTAGAATAATCATTCTTATACAATCTTTCCCTGAACTGTTTTGTTATAAAATTATCGAATTCTCTTATATCATTTCGTCTTTTCTTCTGCATGGATTATCAGCTCGGCGATTTTGAATAGCTAGATGTTTCAAATATTCTATTTTTATGTGTAATTCGGACAAATGAATATATTGGTGACGCAGCTAAAAAAGAATTGCTATTCTGATCAGCTTTTGTTATATCGTGGTGTTCTAAGATCAGAACTGCATTATTTTGACTTAGTCTACTGGGCATTGTTTTTGCTCTGTGTTGTCAGTGTTGAAGTGGAAGTTTGTGTGCTTTTATAAAATAGCATTTGAGGATGCCAAATGGTTTTCAGAAAAGCAGTCGCAGGCGTGTGGCCGATGGAGTACCAATCAAAAAGAGTGCTAAGGTATCAAAAATAACCCTTCTTTTTTAAGTTTTTGAATCCGACACGCTTTTTCCTTGAAAAACTTGCTAGTGCTGACAGGAAAAGAATACACTAAGGTTTCATTATCAGTACTGTTACTAGGATACTCTTATACGCGGGAGGCAATGCCGGTTTAAGTGCCATAATTCTTCAATGCGATGAAACGGCTTCATTTTTTGTTGAATCCCATATAATGAAAGTTCTGCTTCCTTGACTCGGTATCGTAATTAAGGAATAGTAAGGGGGAGGGGAGGACGAAGGGAAAAGATAGACGGCCGTAATTTTAAGGCATTTATCATCGATCTTCGCTTTGTTTAGATACAGTTTTTTCCAAAGTTCATCCATCCATTATGTCTAGCATATTTAGTTCGCAAAAAAAAGTGCTTGCCACTGTATTCTCACAAAAATTTACTAAAAACGCCCCAAATTTTTGCAAAATTGCTCTTTTTGGAAAAGAATCCTAGCTGGCTGTTCCACTGCTCCGACCCAAAAGCAAATTTAACAAAACAACGATAAAGTGTACCGTCAGCAAGAATGTTTCCTTGTCAAACTTTTGACGATAACCCAACCCAGACGAAATCAGAATGATTTCTTTTAAATCGCCCACTATTTGTTGGGTAGCAGCAACAAAAAATACATCGGCAAGCAGCAAAATGCAGTGTTCAAAGCACTATAAGTACCAATGGCATATGCAGTGGGTGATATGGGCTTTTCAGAAAAACCTTATCGAGCAAATTCAAACCTTATCGAGCAGCAGCAAAAACATTCTCTCATTAGATTTTGCTTCAGGAATCGATATACATGCGGCAAATTCATATTCCCTTGCGATTCGGGAATTAAAACCCAGTCAGCACATTATTCTCATAAAAAAAGCTGTCGCATAAATGACTGACAATGCTTGTCCGTACCATGAGTTAACTTCCTCTTCTTTCTCTCCTCTCATACTCCCTCTTTCCTCTTTCTCTTTGTCTTCTCTTACGGCATATCAGTCTTCCAAATTAGTCACATGACTGTTCATAGCGAGAAGTTTGGTTTCTGTTTACAGCTAAGAGATGAAACATAAAGTGCGTCCCAACACGTCCTCTTACACACATTTGGACCAGTCCCTTATCTCTTATATTACTGTTTCACTCGTACACTCGGTGCGTTTCATGTTCAGTACCGCCCACAACGTTCCCAATGTCTGTAGTTTCTCGAAGAGGTTCTGATTTATAGTCTGGTTCTCCAGCTATGCAGCTGGCAACTTTTCCTGTCACTTCGACCTAGCACTGCATCGCTTGAAGGTCAGCTTCTTCCGTTCCTAACATTAGTTTCCTCTCCTGATGGAAACGCCAGCTTAACAACAATTCTCCTAATAGAAACACTTCGCAAGGCTTTAGATATTTGGAAATGTTCTTGTGAAATATTCTTGTCCCGAACGGACGCTGCCGCCGCTAAACGAGCTTATCAACCTGGAGTTCACCAAACCTACTCCGGTTCATAAATATCTTTGGTCATC